GATAGCTTCAGCCCGGGAGTTTGAGGTTGCTGTGAGCTAGGCTGATGCCACGGCACTCTAGCCCAGGCAACAGAGTGAGACTCTGTCTCAAAAAAAAAACAACCAAGTATTGGTGAAGACATGGAGGAACTGGAACCCTTATGCCCCATTGGCTGGAATGTAAAATGTCGTTAACTGCTATGAAAAACAGTATGTCGGCTCCTAAAAAAATTTAAAAATAGAATTGCCATAGGATCCAGCAATTCTGCTTCTAGGCGTATATCCAAAACAACTGAAAGTAGGGTCCTGGGGGAGTATTTGTGTGCCAGTGTTCACTGCGGCGTTATCCACATGGCCAACAGCCGGAAGCAACTCAAGGAGCCACGGATAGACGGATGAATAAATAACCAATCACCAAAACGAGGTATATTCCTACAACAGAATATTCTTCAGCCTTAGGAAGGAAGGAAATTCTGACACATTACACAACCTTGATAATGTTATAGTAAGAATGAGCCTTCAGGACATTATTTTCAGTGAAATAAGCCAGTTGCTAAAAGACAAATACTGTAAGACTCCATTTACATGGGGAACTTAGAGGAGTCGAATTCATAGAGACAGAAAGTGGAATGGCGGCTGCCAGAGGATGGGGAGAGGGGATGGACGGTTGTTTGGTGGGCACAGAACTTCAGTTCTGCACCATGGAGAGTGTTCTGGGGATGGACGGCAGTGATGGCTGCACAGCAACGGGATTGTCCTTCATGCCACTGAGTTGTACACTTACACATGGTCAATGCGGGGAGGTAGCTAAGCTCCCAGCAAAAAACCGGGTCCCTTTGGTAGAGTTGCAAGGGATAAGAAAACAATAGAGAAAAATGGAAAATAAAAGAACTAAAAGAATACACAGGGACAAAGATATAGTTTTATAAGTTTATAAAGATTATAGGCAAAGCGGGATCTCAGGGGGTCTAGATCTCCGTGGATCTCAAAAAGCCCCGAATGAGGTCTTACATGGTAACTTATAGGAAATAGTGATTAATTGCCAGGGGTAACAGATTTACATAACAACAGTTAGTTCCTCTCAGGTTAACAGATTTCAAAAAGGCTTCTACAAATCCTTTAACTAATTCTATCTACGTGGACAAATGGTTATAAAATCTTTCAAAGGTTAACTTCTAAGTTTTAAGGTAAGTTTATCACTTAACAGAGGGGTTAAACAGAGATATGTTGGCTCCATATTTATTAGGTTATTGTGAATGGAGACAGGCAGTCTGGAGTGTTTAAACAAGAGCTTTGCGGGCAGCTGTCTGTTCGGCGGCGGGGCGGGGGACACTCCATTATCAGCTCTCATCCTGTAGTTTTTAACAGATTCACTTGTGCTTTACAAAGCAAATCCAAACCTTTAGGTCTGAGAAACGCAGCGCCTTGTGGGATACAGCCGCTACTGTCTTTCAGAGATGGCCTTCCGAGTGTAACAGCATTTGAAATGCAAACCAACACGTTCACATATTCCTTCAGGGCAAAGTGCTGCAAAACTCCTAAGACAAATCCTGTCTGCAAACACGTTTGATATTAATTCATGGAGCAATAGGTCAAGATGGCGAATTTTATGTCACATGTATTTTACCACAACTAAAAAAATTTTTAAGGTAATGTATTTTCTTGGTTAAAATATTGGAAAATATTTTGTGTCCATTGGGTGTGACTCCTCGGGCTTCCTTTGATGTGTGTCTTGGGGATCCACCTCAGCTTGAAGGGTGGACTGACTGGTGCAACCATAAACCCATCATCTTTGCTTTTTATTTATTTATTTATTTGAGACTGAGTCTCACTCTGTTGCCTGGGCTAGAGTGAGTGCCGTGGCGTCATCCTCGCTCACAGCAACCTCAAACTCCTGGGCTCAAGCAATTCTCCTGCCTCAGCCTCCCAAGTAGCTGGGACTACAGGCATAAGCCACCACACCCAGCCAATTTTTAGATTTTTTTTTTTTTTTTAGAGATGGGGTCTTGCTGTGTTGCCCAGGTTGATCTCAAATGCCTGGCCTCAAGGGATCCTCCTGCCTCAGCCTCCCGAGTAGCTGGGACTACAGGCATGCGCCACCATGCCTGGCTAATTTTTTTTTTTTTTAGAGATGGGGTCTTGCTGTGTTGCCCAGGCTGGTCTCAAATGCCTGGCCTCAAGTGATCCTCCTGTCTTAGCCTCCCAAAGTGCTGGGATTACAGGTGCGAGCCACTGCACCCAGCTTATTTATTTTTTATTGTGATAAAATATGCATACATAACATAGAAGTCACCAATTTAACCATTTTTAAGTGTATACAGTCATCCCTTGGTATGGGGATGGTTCCAGGACCTCCTCTGGTACCAAAATCTGTGGATGCTCAAGTCCCTTATATAAAATGGCATAATATTTGCATATAACCTCTCCTTTATACCTTAAATCTGTGATCCCCAACCCCTGGGCTGGGGACTGGTACTGGTCTGCCATGTCCTATTAGGGACGAGGCAGCAGAGCTCTGCCGCTGCCCTCCCTACCCCCATCCATGGAAAATGTCTTCCACGAAACTTAAGAATGGAGGGGTGGTGTGAGGGGGTGCACAGCAGGAGGTGAGCAGCTGGCGAGTGAGCGTATTTACAGCTGCTCCCCATCACCCGCATCAGCGCCTGAGCTCTGTGCCCCCCACCCTGCCCCCACCCACTGTCTGCGAAAAAATTGTCTTCCATGAAACCAGTCCCTGGTGCCAAAAAGGTTGGGGGCTGCTGCTTTAAATCATCTGTAGATTACTTATAATACCTAGTACAATGCA